TGAGGAGAACTTTTAATGCAGATGGAATTTTGTCTCCTCTTACTACTTCCAGCTCTCCATCAGTAATTCTGAACTGGACTTTTAGAAGTCCGTGTCTTGTGCTTGATGTTCCTTCTCTGTAGCTGTATCAGAAGAGGATGTCTTCTTGTGCTGTTTAATACATTACTTTTTATAAGACTAAAAAAGAAATTATCTTTACTGTTAAGATTGGTAAAAGATACTGTGGATCACAGTAAGATTAAAGTATTTTAGAAGGTAATTCTAGTAGTTTAGATAATGAGTGTTGCAGTTTGGACCTGGCATACAATTATGATTGTTTTATGATTATATAATACAATATATAATTATTTAAATTGACTGTTTCAAAGGCAAGAGGTAAAGAAGATGCAAGATTTTGTTGGTAGATTCTGCCTGTAAGAAGGGGAAAAGCTAAAATGTTTGCAGTTTGAACTTCATCCATATAATTTCCTTGCATGATATTTGTTAGCTTTTCTAACCCAACAAAATGTTAAAACAAGTGTATCAACATAGGTGGTTGGAGGAGCAGTCTGTTCCATGTAATTTTTCATTGGTTCCAAGCTTACTTTGTACTGTCTGGGGGAAGAAAAGAGGCAAAGTTAAGAACATCTCCCTCCCTATACAGTCTCTTCTCCCATCCCCCCTGCAATGTTCAAATTGCCAGTCTTAGAAGACGCATAAAATCCATTTAAGAACTGTCATTCATTCCTTGGTTTATCCTGCTGAGTGCTAGCAATGTGCTTCTTAAGATATGTATGTTCTATTAGCATGAGCAGATTTATTAATCTTCTCATCCTTTTTTAACTTAATCTGTTCTATCTAAGCAGATATTCCTGTATCTGAAGCAAGTATTCACATCTTAGAGAAACATTTTATAGCTTCTTTATGGAGAACAAAACTCTAGAAGAAATTAAAGCATTTCTTCTAGTTTGTGTTTACGTTCCTTTTTCTTGCTGAGTAGTGAATTGTAAAGGTAAAACTATGGACCAACAGTGCACCAAAAGTTTTTAAAGCGTTATTTAAAAGCAAATATAAGGAAAACTTTCACCAGTCAAGCTTAGCTGAGTTAACATTTGAAAAATAATGGTACCAATGTGCATGTTATGCTTTTGTATTCATGCTGATTGTGGTGTCTTTACCAAACCAGTTGCTAATTTTTCTTTTCGTTGACACGTGTGAGCATTGATTTGAAAGGCACATGTAACAAACAAGATGATCTCCAGAAAGCCCTTTTTTATTGCTGAGGAAAAGGAAGTTAGAAATACAATACAGTACAGTAATGCAGAAATAGTTTTTTCTCTCACCCTTCTTTTTATTCCCTGCTCCCCCCCCCCCCTCAATGTTTAGTTAGGTGGCAAATGGCACAGTATCTTCCTTCATGTAGATCGATCTCTTTTGCATTCCCTATACTGCCCCTATTTTTTCTTCTTACTTGTAAGAAAAACTATGACCTTGTCCAGCATAGGACTGATTTTTTTATAAACTTTCTCAGTATCTGCTGTCCTTTATGCCATTGGATTTTATATGTGGTTTAGTAGAGTTTCACTGCTCACCTTCCATTAGCATTATTTTCTCCCTTTCTGACATTTTTCTTGCCTCCAGAATGGGACATGAACTCAGAGGGACTTCAACTTCAGCACGTTTGTATTTGTGCAGCTCCCATTCACAGAGTTCTCTGCCTAGAATGCATTTTTCATTATGTATTCAGAAATACATACATACATACATACATACCAGGAAATGTGAGCCATATTTGTAGGGAAAATTCTTAAGTAATTTGGTTTAGGGAAGTTCCTTCCAGATGCTTAATCCGCTATTTCTATAACCATGAATGTAATTGCAACAGAAGAAGATTCTCTAATATCCCATTCAGTATGTCTTTCTACCTACAGTACTTGGGAGAGAGCCAAAAAGTGAATCCTGAATATACCTATCTATATCTTGCATCCAGAAAGAAAAGCACTTACTTTAGACTTCTGTAGGCCTGAAGAACTAGTGTTGATTATATAGGCATATAATATGTGAGGATACACTGGAACTGGAGCAAGTTAGAATCTTGGCCATTGTCCTTTCTTTTCCTCAGGCTTTTATACATAAGTAGTGATGAACTGCATCAAGTTACCAAGTCTGTTACCAGGATTTGTTAACAGCATTTTTGGTCTAGAACTGCTTAGTTTCCTTAACCTATTAAAGAGACTTGGCTCAGAAACCAGTACCATGGTATTCATTTCAGTATACAGTCATTAAACCAGTGCTTTCAAATCAGTTCTCAGAAGTTTTTAGGCATTTCAGTAATAATAAGCAGATAGTTGGCTGAGAAACAAAATATTAAATTACTACTGGTTTTGTTGTTTCTCTTCAGATCTTTGATTTCAGACATGTTTGTGATGATGAAAAAAACAGATTAATACTTTATATATACTTATTAACTGAATTTTTTCTTTCAGCTGGTGTAAATCATAGCTGCAAAAAGGTTACCAATCAATCTTTACATGGGAGACCCGATTGGAAAGTGCACCTAAAGTACAAGCAAAAGCTACTTAATTTTTTTATATATAAGTGAATATTCAAGTAAAGTCTTTTGTCTACACTCAAATAAGCATTCTAGCAGTGATTTTGATTTGGTTTATAAATTTTCATTACCTTGCAAATTACTTAATTAGGCTAGGAAGTCAATGATTTCAGGAAAAAATGGGCATTTGAAAGGAGATGTAGTGATTTGGAATTGATTTTAAAAATGATTAGAGAATAAGGAGTGTAATCCTTCCAATTTTATGTGACACGATCTTAAAATACTGTTCTGTAATTATATGTCATATTAAGGTGTTTTCAGTAGTAGAAAGTAGTTTCACTGTAGGGTGCAACATGATAATTTTGGACAAATGTACACAAAAGTGTGTTTGGCAGCTACAGATTTAATTGATTTCCTATTAAAAGATGGTGAATGATATTGTGCATGCTTTGAAGATGATAGGAATAGTTCTATGACTTCTATGACATTTCAGAACATATATCTCAAGTCACTTGATTTGGTATTAAAAATTTTATTTACAAAGATGATTGTTCCCTGTTATTCCTGTGTTTAAGTTGTATGATCTGTATTTGATTTAAATGAGGATAGCTATATGCCTTATATGACTAGACTAGAATACGTTTAGTCAAGCAGCTTTATATTTAGGATTTACTTGGATTTCCCTACTGGATTTTCATTAAGTGTCTTGAAATACCTTGGCTGGTGAAAGTATTCCCTCTTGAGATAATAAAACTAAATTTGTGCTACATAATGAACTTAAATATGCCTTTCATACTCTATTACATGATTGTCAATAAATTCAGCATGGCACAGGGCTCCAAATGTTGCATTTTAATTTTTTACTTTCTAAAAGAAATCAATATCTATTTACATAGAACAGGAAGAAATTCTTTAACAGATTTATCTAAGAAATTAGTCTGTGTTTTTGCAGTCCATAAAAAATTTCAATTACAGTGTACCAGGTTCCTTAATTATTTAACTACAGGTTACAGCTTAACAGGTAATACTGAACTGCATGATTCACCACCTCACATGTGCAAAGATAAGTGATTAGTTAAATGAGGATTTCTATAAAATAACTAAATTAAAAATAATCTAAGTTTTTTTGTCATCTTTGCCACCAGTAGGGAAGCTGAAACATAAATTTTGGGAATATACACAATATTTCAAATGATATGCTGGTTGAAGTGAGAATAGGCAGGGAGAGAGGTTAGAGCTGGGTGAATAAAGAGTATTTCATAAAGTTTTTACTACATTGAATGTATTTTATTGAAATTTTGCAAGATACTTGCATCAGGAAAAGCTATAATTCACTGTTGGAATTGGCCACATCAAAATTCAAATTTCATTCTTTCCTAGTATTTGCAAAAATACAGTTGTTACTGCCCACTCTGCTTGTGATGGCTGTTTGTGTTGCTTTTTTACATAAGCATTCTCCTAACACTTGCCTTACAACTTAATAAATTACTGTTTATTGTTGAACCAAGGCAGTGCAGTGTCATCAGTAGTGTTCCAGCTTAATTTGTGAAGAAAAATACTGATATTATTGACACACACATGAGAATGAGTGAGCTACAGATTCTACAGAAGCAGCTAAGGAAAGGGTCACTCTGGATTTTGAGATGTAGTGCTTGGTGTATAGTTTCTGACTTGTGCTATTTCAGCATTTCAGCATTCTTTTAAACTGTGGATTCATTTTTGTAGAGGAAAGGTTATTCCCTAGTAATGAATGAAATCTCAGCTTTCTGTAAGTGTATTTCACTTCTGCATGAAATTTTCCTAGAGAACATGAATATTTAGCATGTAATTGGTAATATGCTCATGAAATAGAGCGGCAAACAAAAACAGAGTCACAAAAACTACAGCTGTGTGTAAATTATACTTAATGTCCTATACAAGCAGAAAGAATGAACTGTGTTTATTTTTCCAAACAATAAAATTTGTAGTTTGGTTTTGAATGTTGTTTTTTGGTTTTTTTGTTTTTTTTTTTAAAAAGTAAATTAAGTTTCATGCTTTGGACAAAATATGTTTTGCAATTCTGATTCTACAAAGCTAATTTACAAAGTTGAAAAACTGTGTTGCGTGCATAGAAATTTTATAGTGGTATTAAATTACTTTTTCCTTTGGTCACTGGCTAGTAGAATATGCTGGAAACCATGGTAACAAAAGGTGCTACCATGGTTGCCCCGGAGTCATGTTAAAATGAGAAAGCTATGTTTGTCTTAATTAATACAATAAAAAGAGAGGGAAGAAGGGAGAGAATATGATTAATGACCTGTACAACGGAAACAGCAAGCGTACAGTCAGAGATGTATCTATGGATAAGTGATCCTGGAAGTTTTGGTACCATTGCATCACGAATGTGAAGGTGTTAAGCCATGAATTTTTAATGAGTAAAGGAGATATGTTAGTTCAATGGTTTATTTCCTTCCATGTCTGTATTTTGCAGGTTTATATTAGGATAAAGGATGATGAATGGAATGTTTATCGAAGATATGCGGAGTTCAGAAGCTTGCATCATAAATTGCAGAATAAATACCAGCAAGTGAGGACTTTTAACTTTCCACCAAAAAAGGCCATTGGAAACAAGGTACTTAAAAGAACTCATAGTATCAGTAAGAGTTGGGGAAAAAAACCTTTCCTATCCACACACACAAAAAAATAGGTGACTGTCATAAATAATTTTTACAGCTGCTAGACAGTACCTGCTATTTTTATACAAACTTTGCTCTCAGCAGCTACAGATTCACCAATAATGCAGTTAGTGCTTCGATTTTTCCATTAATTGAAAAGAAGACGGTTTTTATTAAGTGAAATATTGATGACATACAGAACAGATAAATGCACAAAACCTCCAAAGCTGTAATGGACAGATTTATATGTAAAATGTAATCTCTACTCCATTCTTGTAATAAATGCCAGCAATTAATACTGGTCAGTAATTTTTTAACTAGTTCTGTGAATTTTAAAAAGTATCAGTCTAAATTCCTTAAATTTCCTGTGCTGTTCACAACTGTTGTAAGTTCTTTGAACCAGCTTTTGAAAGGTATTTTGGGTACTTAATTCCCATAATCTATGTCTTTGTGTCTTAGGTCTCCCATTTTGAAATGGGAATTTCTGCATTTTCCTATCATACAGGGATTTTGCATTAAATGCAGTAAATATTGTAGTATGTAAGTAGTAAATATGTAGTATCAGGTAGTTTAATCCTTAATTATGGAAACTTGAAAATGTTCAAGAGCTTAAATACACATTGCAACATACATCACAAACCCAGTAAGGATTGAGAATTAAAGTAATTTTTTTTTTTTAAAGGTAGGAATGATCTGAAAAATTTATTAACCTTCACAAGCAAAATATTTGAGATTTAAATCATGCCTATGACCACAAATGTCTATACTAAACCTCTGAGTGCTTGAAAAGGCATTCCTAGTGTTCATCAAATTTGTTACAGTCTTTATATGGGTTTTTCTCTATTTTTTTTTTTTTTTTTTTTCCTCCGCAGAGTGATTGGTGTAGTCATCAAAAGAAAGCTGACACAATGACTAAAATACTCAAAGATCTTCATGACATTTTATTTGGTCTAAGACCACTTTAATACATGTATCACTAAAATGCCAGAATCATGCTAATTATGTCTGTTGCAGCTTTGTCTATGATAGAAAAATCATTATTGCTGATTCATGTGATGCAATATAAACTTTCAAAAACAAATAGAAAAAAGTTATATCTATAAATGCTTTAATGGCATTCAGATGTCAGTGCATGTGGATTGTGAATGTTTAAAGATAGTAACTCTGGTCTGACTTCAAATGATTTCCCAAGCGTTCCATAAAAATAAGTAGGTAAGCTTGGAACATGTGATGTGAAATGAGTAGTAATGCAGATGATCTGGAATAAGTGGTGGTGAATATATATGAATTTTATCAATAAAATCTGTAGGTCTGTCTGCTTGGTGTAAAGTCCAGAGTTAATTAGTTGTTTATTGCCTACTAAGTAAATGAAGGTACTTACGAGAACTTTTTTGTTTTTTTTTCATATATTAGAAGATCATGCATTTTTCATTTCATTTTTAGTGGATAAGTTTGTAATAGATACAATGCATTTTCTTATTTGTTACAAAACCACTTCTTCTTTTTTGAAGTGATGGAGTATCAGCCACTTGAATAAATTACAAAAGTCTTCTAAGCTTTTTTTTTATAGTCTTTCATCACCAATTGCCTTTAAATACTAATTGAATTACAACTTCAGTTGCACGATTGATGCATAGAAAATTATCAGTAGACCAGCTCATTAATAAATTTGTATCGCTTATTCTTTCAGTGCTTTAGATTTGGGCCAAAATTCTACCTTAATCATGCATAAACCAGCAATCACTCTGTATCAGATCTCAGAAGAAATATCTTTTCTTTATAGTAAGAAATGGGTGCCATCCATTGCGCTTCTGAAAGACTACTATGATGAGACACGAACCAGTTGTATAATTGGAACTGATTAGTGATTATACTTCTGGCTACCTGCTGTAAATACCTTGCAAGTCGCAACGTAGTGCTTTCACATCAGCTTTGCAAGACCTTACCACAGTTTATCACACAAGAGCTTATTTTCACATCACAGTGTGTAGGCAAATATTTTGGCCTTTTAGTGGTGCTATTTTCTGTACCATGTCATAGGATGTATTGCATTTAGGAATAGTGTATGGTTTTGTGCAGTATGGTGGATCATGCTTCAGGAACAATTACCCTATAGATCCAGCAGAAATAGTAGCTCCTTGGAACACATTGCACTGTGTGACTGACTGAGATGGGTTAATGGCCTTGAGATGGCCCTCCTTTCCATGACAGAGCAAGTTGAAGTAATTAGAAGGTTTTAAAATTCAGTGTAAAATGAATTACTGTGGGAATGTCTGTCTTCGAATTCTGTAGAACTTTCAGTTTAGGATGAGGGATTTGTGCAGTATGCAAATACTTGGTAATGTTTACAAATGCATATGTTTGGTAATAAGCCTTAGAAGAGATAATGTCAGTACTACTTTTTTCAGTACTGCTTTTTTAACGTTAGTGGCTGCCAAAGCATGTTCCCTTTTAGATATGCTGTTAGATTTCAACAGAAATTTTTCTCTGATGTTCTCTTACACTGTTTTTAATAGAATTGCAGCTGTTATCCCATTTCTAGATTAATCAATACAATATTAAATCAGTACCTTAAATTAGTAGCTAAATTCTGCTAACGAAAGTATTCAGTTTACATGAATCTCTCTCTGGTTTTCATATTCTTTACAAATCCTCTGTGTTATCAGGTGCCCAAATAACATATTGGTAAAACACAGTCGTCCATGTGTAAATGGCTCAAAATTACTATTTTACAGCTTTTGGAAACTGGTGTTGTGTGCTTTTATATCCTTCAGGTCTGTACCTGAATAATGTTATTCATTGCATATCTTCAATACGCTGTTTGGTACTGTGAGGCTAATGAAGGTGATATGCTTATTCTAAATGTTAGTGTCATTGAAAGAGGGTTTTGCTGTAATTGATATCTCCCTTAATACCAGCACAAAATTTGGTGTTCAACTATATGTCTTAGATTGAGGGAAGCTCCAAGACCACCAGAGGACACCATGCTCTACAGAATGACCTAAAACCACTACTGTGGAGTCACAAAATGCCATCTTCTGTTTTGCTATGCAAAATATTGGAGCTCTGAGGAGGGAACTTGACTAGAAGCGAGTAATGCAGAAAAAAAAAAATACTGTGGAGAACTACTAATTTTCATGCATAATTTTCCCACTTACTGCAGTAGAAATTGGGGAGATCAGGTTCAAATGTGAAATTGCAGATTTTGACACAGGGAAAATGCAAAAAGAAAGTAGATTTTCACCTGAATGGTGATTTTTAAAAGTGAAAAAAACATTTATTATTGCACATATATCGTCATCAAGTAGCAGTGAATCTGAAAATATTTAACAGTTGTAAAACAATAGATTAAGAAACAAATATCTATATTAATTCTAATTATTACATTTTTAGTATATTTTTGCCTTTCACCTGTTTGACTTAAGCTGGGACAATTTATCTTAACAGTTCATGTTCGTGATCTTTCAACAAATTTTGTATGTAGGATTAGAAACTAGCTTTAATGCTTGAGGAAACAGCAATTTAATATACAGAAAACCAATTAGTAGAAAATGAACAGACAAGAGGAAAGAATACTGCTTTTGACAGTTAACCTTTTTTCAGTTGGAAAGAAAAGTTTGTATTTGCCTTTCAGGTTGGTAACCTTATTTTCAGTGCATTAGTTTAAACGTTTGAATATAGTAACTTAGAACTAATGTAAAGCAATGAAAGGAATAATTTGTTTTAGAAATGTTGCTTTGAATCAAACCAGAACAGCTAATTTCATTACTGAAGGAAAATATAACAGTAATGCTTGCAAGACCTCATGTATTAAGTTCCATATATACTAGTCCCTGTGCTGTGTATTTTCTACTAATGATCTTTTAGTGCTGGTAGCAAATAATTGTCAAAATCTTTATAACTAGGCCGTGCAGGAATAAGTGTTCTTCCTTCAATTTTTTGATGTTTTGTTTGAGTGAAAACAAGAAACGTATTTGTTCTCTTTTGTTGCATGTATAAGAGAAATGTCATGTATGACAATGTATCAGCCTGGTTTGTGGTTTGCAAAGTATCTTAGATGTAGGTGTATATACCAAGACTTGTGATTTAAACCCATGGTTTTCTTGCATGGAATAGATTTTTGCCTTTTAGCTAGCCTTCAGGTACTTTGGATCTTTTGAATTCATACTTCCATTATCACAGTTTAAGTCTTTGTGACTACAGGCTTCCTGTCAGGTTTCTAACATCCAAAGGACAGGTTCAATTTCGTGAGCCAGACTCAAACTGGTTTGAGTTGTGGAGCTCCTGAAGAGAAGCTTCATTTGATCATAATACTTGATTGCAAAGGGATCCTTGTATGCTCTTGCATAGAAATACTGTTTATTTTTTTTTCATTTGAGTCCTTACAAAAAAAAAAAAAGCCCTTTAGCTTTTGTTGGTGCTGTGTTTGTGTCTCACTTCTTGAAATGTTGCTTTCAGACTAATGATTAAGTAATAATATGTGAGTATTTACTCGACTTACTATTCTAATTTTTTGAGTATTGCAAAGTCCTTAAAATTTCAGTAGCTACTTCTGCATTGGGCAGATTATAACACATAAAGAATGGATTCTACTAACTCAGTAGGCATCTAATTAAGTATCCTCTTGCAAGGGTATTGTCCCAGTAGAGGACATATCAAAATAGAAATGGTTCTTTTCTTCCACTGAAGATGTGAATTCAGTGATTGTGTAAGTGTTTAGAAATTGAATATAAGGTAGCTTTCCACTGAGTGCTGACTTAACTGCATGATATCCTTTGCTTTTCTTAAAAACATTGGATACCCCATATGGAAAGAATACACAGCACTTTTCTGAGATTAGAAGAGAGTGACTTTGCCATGACTCCTCAGTTGCATAGGAGGAACAATACAGAAATCTAAAGTAAGTGTTCTGTCTAGGAGAAAATGTTGAGAGCAACATCGTTCATAACTTTTATCC